GCATGAAAGTGAACAGTGGGTCACTGATATCATTTGTGTTGCTGGACCAATTTCAGAGACAGTCTGAGATAACTCCACAGAGGCCAGTGTCTCATCACCAAGTCACCCTTTATTTACACATGGAGAATCCTTGACACTGATCCAGCTACTCAGAGCCAGCTGTCAGAGTGAACAGAACCTCTGACTCTCCTGTTTATATCTGTCAGCCAGGGCTCCCTGATTGGACCAGATTTGTAGCCCTCACCAGGGAACTCATATTCTATGAGGTCCACCTGGCTCACCTCATGACAAACACTACACAGTCCAAGGGCAAAATTCATTTGAATGAATGACCTAAAAAATAGGGGTCGACCAAAGCGTAAAATTAACAGTTTATAGTTTCTCATCTTATTGGTTAAACAAAATTAAAAATTAATAGGGAGAAAATAAAATTTGAGGGTAAATTTGCAAGTAATTTCAAGAGAGACAGCAAGAGCTTCTTCAAACATATAAAAAGGAGGAGAAAAACCAAAGTAATCACAGGCCCCCAAGAGAATGAGGCAGGGGCAGTAATATTGGGGAACCAGGAGATGGCAGAGGAGTTGAGCAAATAATTTACAACAGTTTTCACAGCAGCATACAGTATTGGAATTCCAAAATTTCCAAATAATTGAGAGGCAAAAGTGGGAGAGGAAATAAATGCAATAACTATCACTGGAGAAAAAAAGCCAGGGAAGCTAGTGTGACTGAAGACTGATAAGTCCCCTGGGATGCATTCTAGGACATTAAAGGAAACAGCTACAGAGTCAGCGAATGAACTGGTAGTAATTTTCCAGGAATTCTTAGGTTCTGGAGAAGTCCCAGAGGATTGAAAAACAACCAGTGTAACACCTTAATTTCTGAGAAGTAGAGGTGCTGGTGTTGGACTGCAGTGGGCAAGGACAAAAATCACACAACATACCCTGTTCTTATGAGGGTGTCCTTCAGCACTTTCAAGTGTCCATCGCATTCCTCCTCATCTGAACAAATCCTGTGTATGCGTAGGGCTTGTCCATAGGGTGAATTTGTATTTGCAGATTTGTAATTGCAGATACATTCTATTTTGCTCCAAAAGCACACAATTTGTAGACAGTCAATGTGGCATTTTATAAATTCCTACCTTGGAAATAAAACCAGTCTGACTCCAAGTCGATATACAGCCAGATTCAATACAAGTCCTCATACCTAAAATGCATTGTCTGACCTGGGATGTCACCTCTGGTATACTGAAGGAACTGATAAACCCTTTAGTTATCTCAGGGCACTGACTTGAAAGAAATTCGGGAATGTGCATATTAATCCTTTCTAACTGATTAAAGAATTAACAGCCATTTTAAGTTTGTTCAACACTGCATCAGTTCAATGACCCTTTGCTCTTTCGCTTATACATTCTGTGTCTGATGCCACCTCTCTCACTGACACCTGAAGAAGGAGTGAGACTCTGAAAGCTTGTGTCTTCAAATAAACCCATTGGACTACAACCTGGTGTCATGTGATTTTTGACCATAATTTCCAAAGGGAGCGACATAATAAAGGGCACTTTAGCACAGTTAGCTTAATGTTTATTATTGGGAAAACATTAAAGACATTAAAAACATCAATTATAAAAGATTTAATAGCAGGGTATTTGAAATGCATAATATAATCAAGCAGAGTCAGCATGGCTTCATGAAGGGAAAGCAGACCTGATAATCATGCTAAAATTCTTTGAGGAGGGAACAAGCATGATAGATAAAAGGGAAGCAGTGGATGTAATATATTTGGATTGACCATACATTAATACTTTGCAAAATAATAGGCCATGGTGTTGGACATAATATATTAGTAGAGGATTCACAAACTAATAGAAGTTAGAGGGTTGTGATAAGGAAGGCATTTTCAGGATGGCAACCTGTATCTAGTGGTGTGCCAAAGGGATCAGTGCTTAGGCCACATTTATTCACAATATTGGTGACTTGGATGGGAAAATACATGATGGCCAAGTTCGCGGGTGACACAAAACTGAGTGGGAAAGCAATTGGTGAGGATGACACAAAGCGTCTGCACAGGGAGATAGAGGGATGAAGTGAGTGGGCAAAAGCATGGGAGATGGAATCTAAAGGCAGATGGAATCTTTCCACTCTCACCTTAAACCTATGCCCTCTAATTTTGGACTCTGCTGCTCTGGGAAAAAGGCCTTGACTATTCACTACTATCCATGCCCCTCATGATTTTGTAAACTTCTATAAGGTCGCCCCTCAGCCTCTGATACTTAAGGGAAAATGGGTTCAACCTGTTCACCCTCTCCCTTTCATTCAAACCCTCCAACCCCACCAATATCCTTGTAAATTTTTTCTGAACGCTTTCAAGTTTCATAACATCTTTCCTCTATCAGGGAGAGCTGAATTGAACACAGTATCCCAAAGGCGGCCTAACCAATATCCTGTACAGCTGTAACATGACATTCCCAACTCCTATACTCAATGCACTGACCGATAAAGGCAAGCATTCCCAATGCCCACTTCGGTCCATGTTTTTCTGCAACTCCATTTTCAAGAAACTATGGGCCTGCACTCCAAGGTTCTTTCTTCAGCAATTCTCCCAGAACCTTACACTTAAGTGTATAAGTCCTGCCTTGATTTACCTTAGCTGGAACACTGTGAACAGTTTTGATCCCCTTATCTAAGGAAAGTTATACTTGCATTGGAGACAGTTCAGAGAATGGTCACTAGGCTGATACCCGGTATGAAGGGACTTATGAGAAGAGGTTGGGTAAATTGTACTCATTGGAATATAGAACAATGAGAGGTGACTATATTTGAAATATACAAGATTCTTAGGTGACTGGATACTGTCAATGTGCGAAAGATTGTTTCCCCCATCAGAGAATTTAGGACCATAATGTCAGAATCAAGAGTTGCACATTTAAGATACAGATGAGGAGGAATTTCTTCTCTTGAGAGGATAGTGACTCTGTGGAATTTTTTATAGCTGTTGTGGCTGGGAATTTAAGTGTATTCAGGGCTGAGATTTTAATCAGTCAGGGAATCAGGGTTATGGGGGGTAGAGGCAGCAAAGTGGAGTTAAAGATTATCGACTCAGCCTTGATGTCATCAGGGCAGACTCGATGGCTGAATAGCTTGTTTCTGCTTTTAAATTTTATGATCTTAATTAAACCACAAGTTTAGGAACATTTAATCGCAGCTGCTCAATTTTGTTCATCATCTGTCGTACTGAAAGGTTGCACTATAAATTTCGGACCTGAACCAAAACTTTTCAACCATAAAAGAACAAATCAATTTTTTGAATGAAAGGGGAGAGGTGGATACAGAACTGTTCCCAATCATAGCGACATGGCTAATGCAGGCCAGAACTGAGGCTGTGTAATATTATACAGTTGTATGGCAAGAAGAACTGAAGAGAAATGGATCATTTGAAGAGACAATTTCTCGCAAAATTGTTTTGAATCATGAAAGGGGCAGTTTAATATCACTAAAAGCAGAGTTTGACAGCATTCATAAATGGTTAGTTGATGAACAGTTGGAGATCAACAGCCCAGACAACACCAGAGAAGGACTAGAATCTCAGTAGATGAGCAGCTTCTTGCATTAGCAAATTAGATCTCTTTTTGTTCCTCAGGATTTATTGATTGTAATACTACAATGTTTGACCTAATAGCAAGAAATATATTGTTGTAAATGTGATTTACGAAGCATCAATATGACTGTGCTGAGTGATTATGGCAAAACAGTTTGTCTGATGCCCATATTTCAGCAATTGTTAATCTTAGATACTTTTCAATTACATAGTTGCATAATCCTCCAGCCAAAGGCCATATTCTAGGTCAATGAGACTGTCAAATTAATGTATTCTTCCTCAGCTTCTCACACACTATTATGATCTTCACCAAACTGATGTTTGCCATATTATGCTGCAAAACTACAACAAATCTTCTCAGGGACCTATGATAAAACACCACTCGATCAAGGCATTTGTCTGCTCCTGTCTCAGATTTTATTACATCTGCTAAACAAAGACAACTATTTCAAATCCTAACTTTTAAGCCTCATCCCGCCTCCTTGACCTGTCCTTCCTCCGTGGACCGACTATCCCCTCCCTAACACCCCACCTACACTCACCTTTACTGGCTCCAACCCCGCCTCCTTGACCTGTCTGTCTCCTCTCCACCTATCTTCTCCTTTATCCATCTTCTATCCACCTCCCCTTTCTCCCTATTTATTTCAGAATCCCCTTCCCCTCCCCCATTTCTGAAGAAGGGTCTAGACCCGAAATGTCAGCTTTCCTGCTCCTCTGATGTTGCTTGGCCTGCTGTGTTCATCCAGCTCTACACCTTGTTGTCTCAGATTCTCCAGCATCGGCAGTTCCTACTATCTCTGTAACAATTTTAACCTCACTGCGAAGCCTCTTCTAAGGATGCCTACCCTGAAGAAGTTACCCTCCTCCCTCCAGAAAGACCTCAGTAGATCTCTCTCCCACTGCAACCCTCCTGTAATCTCTTCGGCCCTGAAACTGCTCAACCACGTCCTGAAGCAAACCAGGTACTACAGCCACATTGCCTTTTAATATGTTTTGTTTTACTGACACATTCTTTTTCTTCATTTTCTGTAACTTGCCCAAGTATCAGCAAACATGGACTGATAACTTTCCCACCTGTGATACAGATTCCTCATTCAGTCAGCACTTGCTGGTGCTGTCCTGCATTGGAATTTCATTAGCTTAGGTAAAAGGTTATTCTTTTCACTCACTTCATACTAATCAATGTTAATTATTGCATTGATACAACCTGATTTGCCAAGTATCTAGCAACTTCAGTTATTTCTACCTGTTGCAGCAGGAGAAATAAAGAGCTAAACAATGTTTCAATATAAGCAGTTTATTGTTTTCAAGAATCATAAATTTCGGAGGAACTCAAGAGTTTACCAAAATAAAAATTCTCTCAAACTATCAAAAATACATCATCTTCTTGAATTGAAATCAGGAAATGTAAACAGAACAAATCAGTCAACAGAAACACTGGATTTTAGTGGAATGGAAAGATCAAATTGCTTTCAGATTAATTCTGCTTTGGTCCTTGCAATTTACATTACAATTGCAGCATTGGTGTGAAATCCAGCTTCAGTGCTTTGATGCTGTCGTTGTGGTATGAATTCAACTCGTGAAACACTGCATGGCCTACAAATTCATTTAAAATATTTATTTTTACAAAAGTTTTTTCTCCCCTTTCCTGTTTTTGGTTCTGTTTGATTCCAAGAACTGTACTCTCCATTTACACTGAGCAAAACATCGAAGTTAAGTCAGATATTTCTTTCTCCTTTTGTAACTTGTGAACACCGTGATAAACTTAAGAAAATTGCTTTAAAGTTTAACAGAAACTTTTCAAAGTCGATACAACCAGACAATTGCTAGAGAGTTCACAATCCCAAATTATAAAAACCTTCTAACTCACTTTAAATGTCACTCTCAAGTTTTGTGAATGTTCAGAACTCGGTATTTAACTTGAGTTATTAACCACAATGCAGACACTGCAAGTTAATTACAGATTATCAATTAACCTGAAATGCATTGTTCATAATTATTTATCTCTTTTCACAGATAGAGGTGCAGTGATACTGGGCAGTTGAGGGGCTCCTATGTATTCAGCAATTCTTCCAGAATGATGACTCCCATTCTGATCACAATCCTCCAGAGTGACACGGGTCTCTGTGGCTGAAGTTGAACAGCTGGAATTCCAATGGCTGGAACCAGGTTGCGTACCATGTTGGCAATTAGTATAATGCTTTCTCGCTGAGCCTGTCACAATACAAGGGTACGTGAACTGTTAGCATTTTAAACTGAGTTCACTTCCATTAAATACATTTAAGATTCATTCTGCTCACAGTCACATGTTCAGAAACATCTGGTGCACTTAGATGCCCATTGACAGTTTTTCTATTGGGTCAATACAGGAAAATCTACTTTTTTCACTGGGACTCGAGATTGCAAGGTACAAGTCCAGTTTGTCAGAATCAGTCCCGTCAATGGCGAGAGGAATTTAAGGTTGATGTAGACTAGGGACTGACAATAAATACTGGCCAGCCACAATGCCCACATCCCAAGGATGAATTTTAAAAAAGTAACGATTTCTTCCATACCATTTTCTGTGTGCATAGGTTTGAGATAGAAGAAAATACGATGATGATTTTTAAGAATAGTTTGAGGCATTTTCATTTCAAGTTTGTCTGCAAAGAAAATTTGTATAACTAAGAAACTGCTAAAATACAACTTTTATTGTCAATGTCTGTGTTATTTATAGTATAGTGTATTTTGAAAACAATGTTTACTTGTAAAGTTCACAAAGGATTTTACAGAATGGTTCCCAGAAGTCAAATGACTAACCTTGTGGACTTCGGCTGATATCGTGACAGGAATATTTATCTCAGGGAGGAGTCACAATTGACCGTTTGAAAATCATAGAGTCATAAAGATGTACAGCATGGAAACAGACTCTGCAGTCTAACTCGTCCATGCTGACCAGATATCCTCACTTAATTTAGACCCATTTGCCAGCATTCTAGATGCAGGAACTGAGGGCATTCTGGCTAAGTTTGCAGTCGATACAAAGATAGGTAGAGGGACAGGTAGTATTGAGAATGTGGTGAGGCTGCAGAAGGATTTGGACAGGTTAGGAGAGTGGGCAGATGGAGTACAACGTGAGAAAGTGTGAGGTCATGCACTTTGGTAAGAAGAATAGAGGTATGGACTATTTTCTAAATGGGGAGAAAATTCAGAAGTCTGAAGTCCAAAGAGACTTGGGAGTTCTAGTCCAGGATTTTCTCAAAGTAAACTTGCAGGTTGAGTCAGTAGTTAGGAAGGCAAATGCAACTTTTGCATTTATTTTGACAGGACTTGAATATAAAAGCAGGGATGTACTTCTGAGGCTGTATCAAGCTTTGGAGTATTGTCTGCAGTTTTGGGCCCCGTATCTCAGGAAAGATGTACTGGCCCTGGAGCGGGTTCAGAGGAGATTCACGAGAATGATCCTAGGAATGAAAAGCTTAACATATGAGGAATATTTGAGGACTTTAGGTCTATACTTGATGGAGTTTAGAAGGATGAGGGGGGATCTAATTGAAACTTACAGAATACTGAATGGCCTGGACAGAGTGGATGTGGGAAGCTGTTTCCATTGGTAGGAAAGGCTAGGACCCGAGGGCACAGCCTTAGAGTAATGGGAAGACATTTTAGAACAGAGATAAGGAGAAACTTCTTCAGCCAGAAAGTCGTGAATCTATGGAATTTATTGCTACAGAGGGCTGTGAAGGCCAGGTCATTGAGTATATTTAAGACGGAGATAGATAAGTTCTTGCCATTGACGGGGATCAAGGATTATGGGGAGAAAGCAGGAGATTAGGGTTGAGAAGCTTATCAGCCATGATTGAATGGTGGAACAGACTCGATGGGCTGAATGGCCTAACTTCTGCTCCTGTGTCTTATGGTCTTATGTCTCATTTGGCCCATATCGTTCTAAACCCTTCCGCTTCATGTACCCGTCCAGATGCCTTTTAAATGTTCTAATTGTACCATTCCACCACTTCCTCTGGCAGCTTATTCCATACACACACCACCATCTGCATGAAAACGTTGCCCCTTAAGTCCTTTTTAAATCTTTCCCCTCTCACCTTAAACCTATGCCCTGGCAACATCCTTCACAATCTTTTCTGAACCCTTTCAAGTTTCACAGCATATTTCCTCTAGCAGGGAGACCAGAATTGTACGCAGTATTCCAAAAGTGGCCCAATCAATGCCCTGTACAGCTGCAACATGAACTTCCAACTCCCATACTCAATGCACTCACCAATAAAGGCAAACATACCAAATGGCTTCTTCACTGTCCTATCTACCTGCAACTCCACTTCCTGCGAACTATCAACCTGCACTCCAAGGTCTCTTCATGGTGGCTCAGTGGTTAGCACTGCTGCCCCACAGCACCAGGCACCTGGGTTCGATTCCACCCTTGGTCGACTGTCTGTCTGAAGTTTGCACATTCTCCCCATGTCTGCATGGGTTTCCTCTGGGTGCTCTGGTTTCCTCCCACAGTCCAAAGATGTGCAGGCTAGGGGGATTGGCCATGCTAAATTGCCCATAGTGTCCGGGGATGGGTCTGGGTGGGATACTCTGAGGGTCAGTGGGGACTTATTGGGCTGAAGGGCCTGTTTCCATACTGTAGGGATTCTATGATCTATGATCTCTGACTCCCCAGGACATTACCATTAAGTGCGTACATCCTGGCCTGAGTAGCCTTACCAAAATGCAGAACCTCACGTTTATCTAAATTAACCTCCATCTGCGACTCCTCCACCCATGTGCCCATCTGGTCAAGATCCCATTGTACAGTGAGCTAACGTTCTTCACTGTCCACTACACCATCAATTTGATGTCATCTGCAAAGTGACTAACCATACCTTCTATATTCATATTCAAATCATTTATATAAATGATAAAAAGCAGTGGATCCAGCAATGATCCTTGCAGCACACCACTGGTCAGAGGCCTCCAGTCCGAAAAGCACCCTCCACTAGCACCCTTTGTCTCCTACCTTTGAGCCAATTTTGTATCCAATTGATGAGCCCCCCCCGTATTCCATGTGATCTAACCTTGCTGACGTGTCCACTAAGTGGAACCTTTTAGAATGCCTTGCTAAAGTTCATATAGACAACTTCCACCACTCTGCCTTCATCAATATCCATTCCCAATGGTAATCTTATTCAACCAAGCTCCCCTGGAGTTGTGAATATCTCTTCCTAGCTTTCAACAACCTGACAATGAAAACCATCTCGGCTAATGGCTGAAACAATTAGAAGTTAGTTACTTTTACTGTAGGCTAAAAGAGTATCTTTTTTATTCACTTGTAGGTCCTGAGTGTCACTGGCTGGGCCAGCATTTATTGCCTATCTCTTGTTGCCCTTGAGAAGGTGGTGGTGAGCTGCCTTCTTGAACCAGTGCAGGCCACATGCTGTAGGTTGACCCACAATGCTGTTTGGGAGGGAATTCCAGGCTTTTCACCCAATGACAGTAAAAGAGCGACAATATATTTCCAAGTCCAGATGGTGAGTGGCTTAGAGGGGAACTTGCAGGTGGTGGTGTTTCCGTGTATCAGCTGCCCTTGTCCATCGAGATGTATGTGGTCCTAGTGCCGAACATGGCAGCATGATTCGCTAGTGTGAGGGCCGCAGCCATCTTAATCTTTGTTCTGTGTAAGACAGTTTGTGATCAACCATTTTGTGTCATATATCTTGAAAAGAACTCTGACAACTTCAGAGAAAAGTTCTCAGTCAAGGGGAACAGACATTAATGTAGGTGTTAATGTATGGGTTACTCCTAATATCATGCACTACTGAGTAGACAAATGAGAAGATGCAGAATACATGATGGCAGAGATGGTGCAAAAAGGGAAGGCTTTAGAATCCTGAGGCATTGGGACCAGTACTGAGGAAAGTGACATAAGTTAAACAGATACACCCTGACAGGACCAAGACACTCACAGTAGAATTTAGTCATTCTGTTGGGAAAGCTTCAAATAAACAAAGCAGTGGCGTGGAAAGCTGACAGTAGATTAAGAAGAGAAAGAGGAATATTTGGAAATGGAAGGCAGACATTTAGTAAACAGTTAGATCAGAACTGTTAGACCTGGACTATCCAACTAATCTCTCATCTCAACCTAACTATTTCCAAAACTATCTACCCCCGTCCCTAAACCTGACTCTGCTTTGCATCCAGATCTGATGATTCCATTTACCTGGCTACTCCTCCCAACAGTGTAAACCCCACAAACCTGACTGCACTCTCTCCTCACCCAAAAATTTCACTACCCTTTCCAAACCGACCCAACTACCACCTCTGACCTGTCTAATCATCCCAATCTGGCCTGCCCCAGAATACCCCTGACCTGACCTCCCCCTCACCCTCTTGCATCCCTCAACCACCCTACGTACTTACTGCTTCATCTACCTACTCCCCTCACTCACATCCCCAGCCATCCTTCCATCTTCCTACTTACTGTCACTCATTTTGTTAGACTGGATCTTCTAATAATGTGGTGCCATTAAAAGGGGAGTGTCCTGTCTTACCCCCAGTTCTATTCCACTCAGGCAGAGTTTCCCAAGGATCATTATGCTGCACTTTTCAGTTACATCCAGAGATGGAAGTCCCCAGTGAAATGTGCAACACTGTCAAATTGGGGAAATTTTCAAGTAGAAGCATTACTGCTACTCAAAACATCAAGACCATTGTCTGTCCAAGTCCTTCTACCAGAATGAATTACTTCACCCCTCTCTGTATTACACTTCATCTACCACTTGTCCATTTCATGAATCTGTCTACTCCATCTGAAGTTTAACATTATCCTGCTCACAGTTCATAATACTTCCAATTTTTGTGTTATTTAGAAATTTTGAAATTGTGCCCTTCACACCAAAGTCTAGGCCAGATTTGCAATTTGAAGTCAAAAGCAAGTTTGGCAGTCATTAGGTCTATAGGAGTTTGGAGAAATTGGGTGAATTGAGGCTATGGAAGGACTTGAAGATAAGGACTAAAGCCTTGGAGTTAATTCACTGGAAGATTCAGATTAATGGTGAGAGGGGCTTAATGTGAGACAGAATATGAATCGGTATGTTTGGAGGAATTGGAATTTGCACCAGAAAGCCATAGAAGCACATTGGGTAACATTTAAGTAGAAAAAAATTAGGTTCATGCAGAGGTAATGGAAAATAGTATTAGGAAGATGAAAATAGTGCACTGTTGATGGGGAGAATTTGGAGTTTGAAGCTTAATTCAAGATTGAATTAAGTCACAAAATTTCAGTCTCATTCAATCCATACCGGAGGCTCTGGATAGATATTAACATCCCATTAACAAGGCAGCTAGGTTTGTCATGAGCACTGGTTTGAGTTGACACCATGGAGTGACTACTTCCATTGATACAATCCGAAGTTGCTTTGTCCTTGTAGGTGCTGCTTACCATGAGGTCTGGGCATTGGGATTCAGTCCTTCACTGTACAAACTGCTCACTTAGACTATCCTGCCACTTCTCTAAAATTGATGCAGCTCTGCCTCTACCTTATCTAAGAGTGGCTATGTCTGACTGTCTGGAGTTCCAATGAATGCTGTTTTGGTCAGACAAATGTTGATTGTTGTATTACAGCTTTCTAGTATAAATATTCCATCATCTGTTTGAGTCACAAAAACATGTGACTGCTGATGTCAAACTGACATCATGTCATTAACAAATGCATTTTCATTACACTACAAGCACCAGGAATGATGACTTTCAGTTTTCCACTGAGGGAAATAGTTACTAATCCATAACTTGATACCAGTCAAGTAGTCTGACATCACGTGGGGTGGGGTGGTATTAAAAATTAAGAGAAGTTGTGTTTCATGATTAGACTTGAAGGCATTTGGTATGCTTGCCTTAATTGGTCAGTGCATTGAGTTTAGGAGTTGGGATGTCATGTTGCAGCTGTGCAGGACATTGGTTAGTCCACTTTTGGAATACTGTGTTCAATTCTGGTCTCCCAGCCCTGTAGAAAATGTGGTGAAGCTTGAAAGTGTTCAGGAAAGATTTACAAGGATATAGTTAGGATTGGAGGGCTTTAGCCACAAGGAGAGGCTGAATAAGCTGGGGCTATTTTACCTGGATCATCTGAGGCTGAAGAGGTGACCTTATAGAGGATTTATAAAATCATGAGGGGCATGGAGATGGCGAACAGCCAAGGTCTTTTTCCCAAAGTTGGGGAGTCCAGAACTAGTAGGCATAGGTTTAAGGTGAGAAGATTTAAAAGAGACCTAAGGGACAACTTTTTTGTGCAGAGGGTGATGCGTGTATGGAATGAGTTGCCAAAGGAAGTGGTGGAGGCTGGTACAATTACAACATTTAAACAGCATCTGGATGGGTATATGAATAGGAAGGGTTTAGAGGGATATGGGCCACGTGCAGACAAATGCGACTAGATTAATTTAGGATATCTAATCAGCATGGATGAATTGGACCAAACGGACTGTTTCCATGCTGTACAGCTCTAAGACATATTGAAAACTGACTCTATGTGGATGATGACACAATGGCATAGCAGAGTTGGGAAAATTACAAAAGTGAGAATGACAGGAAATGACAAGAGGTTGCTGATGTAATTCAAACTCAGTTGGTAGCACAGACACTTTCTGAATGAATCTCATCTGTCAAAAAATCAATACATTAAAGAAGAAAAATGATAACATTATTTTTACCCCACTAGTCCCTTATCTACATTTGTTCAACCAAGAAGTGCAATCAGATAGTCAATTCTACAGAAATTATTAGGTTCTTTCAATTTGTTCTGCCAGCTACCTTCCTTGGAAAGATAGCAAATTAAGTCTTCTACTTCTGGTTTGTCTCATTATTTCTGAAATGTAATACCTTTCTTCTGATGTATCTTCTTTTTTTCCATTTAAACATTTGAAATACAACACAGAAAGATCAATGCATCTGAACAGATCTTTAGCACTGATATTAACTTTTAAACTCACTAGTTCATCAATGGCGACAAGAGCACGCTGGATGAATTGCACATTTTGGTCATAATTATCATTTAGTTGGTCACCCATCTGTTGGAGTCTCCTGCTAACATCCACAATATTGTCAATGTTATCTGAGAAAAAATAAAGCAGTTAGACAGCAGAAAATGAATGGTAAATTCCCACAATAATCCCAACCCTGTAGTAATTCTTGCAAATCATTTCGACAGGGAGCTTGTCATATGTCGTGTGTTGCATTTTCTAACTTCCAGTCTGTTGTGATCATTCTAGAATATAAGGACCTTTGTAAAATCACAGTCAGAGTATCTACTATTTCTGCAGTTACCTCTTTTACAAACTAATTGTAGACCATCTGGTCCTGGGTTCTTACCAGCTATTAGTCCTTTAAGTGTTTCCACAATACATTTAATTAGCTGGTATTAATTTTCTGAATCTTATTGGTCAGTTGGTTACCCTCGGTTTCTGGCATAGTCTTCTACTGTAGGTACACAAGAAAAAATTCAGCAGTAACCTTCCAAGAAAGGGGTGAAAATATGCAATATTATTTACTTCAAATGGGCTTGCTGGTATGTGTTATTCACTAAAAGTGAATGCCAAGTCTGGGACTTTGGAATGGTTAACCAGACGGTGTCTACAAATTGTTCCTGAAGCATTAAAAAATAATTCTCATCATTGTGCAATGTCAGACTGATGTGATTTTCTTGCAGTTGTGTTTGTAAAAAATACACTTGTGCTGCTGAGAAGTATTCTCTTCATTTGTCCTTCACAGTATCTTCAAAGTTCATCTACATTGTCTCTTCAAATAAATTTTGCAGATAAAACTGGATTTATCTGCTATTCGTTAAAGTTTGTTTCGAAATGTTGCGCATCTTAAAATTGAAAAAAAAATCCCTGAGCCATAGTCGACAACACAGGGAATAGTAGGTTGGAGAAAGTGAAAAGACATCAATTCCATTGAATAGCGCTTTGGTGAGACTACATCTGGAATATCGTGTGCAGATCTGGTGTTCCTAGCTAAGGAAGGGTGTTCTTCTTATAAAGGGAGTACAGCGGTTTACCAGACTAATTCCTGTGATGGTGGGACTGACATATGAGGAGATGTTGAATCAATTAGAATTATATTTGCAGGCATTCAAAAGAATGACGGGATATTTCATAGAAACTTACAAAATTCTAATGGGACTAGACAGGATAGATGCAGGAAGGACATTCCTGATAATGGGAAAGTCCACAACCAGCGGGTCACAGGAGAAGCATATGGGATAAACCATTTAGGACTGAGATGAGGAGCATCCGCTGAGCTGAGAATCGTAGTCACACCACAGACTAAGACTTCACAGGCAAAAAGGGAATGGGTGACTACCAGGCAGAGTAAGAGGACTAGTCAGGCACTGCAAGAATCCTCTGTGGGTCATTCCCCTGCAAAACAGATAAACCGCTTTAGATACTGTGGAGGGGAGGCACAGTGGCTCATTGGTGAGCACTGCTGCTTCCCAGCACTAGGGACCTGAATTTGATTCCACCCTCACGCAGCTGTCTGAATGGAGTTTGCATATTCTGCCCATGTCTGTGTCGGTTTCCTCTGGGTGCTCCGATTCCTCCCACAGTCCAAAGATGTGCGGGTTCGATGGATTGGCCACGCTAGATTGCCCGTAGTGTCCAGGGGTGTGTTGGTGATTAAGTATGGGAAATATAGGGTTACAGGGAAAAGGTAAGGGGATGGGTCTGGGTGGGAAGTGCTTCGGAGGGGCGATGTGGACTTGTTGGGCCGAATGGCCTGTTTGCACACTGTAGGGATTCTATAATTCTATGAATGACCTCTCACAGGAAAACAGTAAGCGAAAATCGTGGCACCATGGCTGGCTCTGCTGTATGGATCAGGAGCAAAAAGTAATGCCGTACCATGGGAGATTCAGTTGTAAATACGAATAGATCGGAGTTTCTATGGCCACAAACAAGACTCCTGGGTGGTATGTTGCCTCCATGGTGCTAGGGTCAAGGATGTCTCAGAGCAGACAGGACATCCTGAAGGTGGAACGTGAACATCCAGTGCTTGTGGTACACATAGGTTCCAAATACATAGGCCAAAAGAAAAGGAGAAGGTTCTAAAAGCAGAATATAGGGAAGTAGGACATAGCTGAATAGTAGGATCTGAAAGGTGGTGTTTACTCCCAGTGCCAGTTGCTAATCAGAGTAGAAATAGAGTAACGTATCAGATAATTATGTAGCTAAACAGATGACATGAGGGGGAGGGTTTCAGATTCCTGGGGCATTGTAGTTTCTGGGGGAAACCGGAACAAACTGGAGAGGACCATGACTGATGCCTTTCAGGGGAATATTCTCTGAATAGTTGTGTTTGGGAGCGATCAAAGTAAATTGGCAGTGAGATGAGAAGCTACGCAAAGTATCAAAGGAGCAGGAATCAAGGATAAGAACAAAAGACAGAAAGAGGAATGGGAGAAGTGATGGGCAGATCCACGGCCAGAATCAAACACAGCCACAGTAAAAAAAAGAACTGGGAATGACAAGGAATGTTAAAAAGACAAGCCTTCAGGCTTTGTCCCTGAATGCATGAAGCTTTTGAACTAAAGCAGATGAATAAATCATGTAAGTAGTTGTAAATGGCTCTGATACAGTTGTGATTATAGAGACACGGATGCAGGGTGACCAGGATGGGAACTAAACATCCAGGAGTTTTCAGTATTTAGGAAGGAAAGACAAAAAGGAAAAGGTGTTGGAGTTGCATTACTGGTAAAAGAGGATATAAACACAATATTGAGGAAAGATATTAGCTCAGACAATGTAAAGTCTGTGTGGGTAGAATTGAGAAATACCAAGGGGCAAAAAAAATTAGTGCAGAAAGTACATAGACGCCCACCAAACTGTAACGGTGATGGTGGGAATGGCATTAAACAGGAAATGAGAGATACATGCAGGAAAAGAACATCTGTAATTATGGGTGATTTTAATCTTTATATAAATTGAACAGATCAATACCATAGAGTAAGAATTCCTAGAGTGTACTGGATGGTTTTCTGGACCAATACATTGAGGAACCAACGAGAGAACAGGGCATCTTAGGCTGGGTGTTATGCACTGTGAAAGGAGTAATTGATAATATTGTTGTGAGAGACCCCTTTGGGAATGTGTAACCATAATGTGGTAAACTTTTCCATCAAGATGGAAAGTGAGGTCATTAATTCTGAGACTAGGGTCCTGAATCTTCATAAGGGAAGCTACAATGGTATATTGGGCATGAGTTTGCTATGATGGATTGGGAAATGTTACTGAAAGGAATGACGGTGGATAGGTAACGAGAAACACTCAGGAGTGAATGGATGAAGTACAAAAATTGTTTATTCCTGTCTGGCACAAGAGTGTGAAGAGAGCAGTCATAAAATCATGGCTTAAGAAGGAAGTTCGAAATAGTTCTTGATATGAAAAAGAGATACAAATTAGAAAGAAAAACCAATAAACCTGAGGATTGAAAATGGTTTAGAAGTCAGCAAAGGAAGATCAAGGGATTGATTAAGAAGGAGAGAATAGAGTATGAAGAGTAAGCTGCAGAAAATGTAAGAACTGACTGTCAATGTTAAATATGTAGGTATTTAAAGAGAAAAAAATCGGTGAAAAATAATGTAGGTCCCTTATAGCCAGAAACAATTTACAATGCGGGAAAAATGGCTGACAAACTACAGTCATACTTTGCTTCTGTCTTCACAAAGAAGAACATGAATAACATACCAGGAATGATGGGGAACACAAGGTTCCTACAAATAGTGGATGCCTTGGTAGTCATCTTTCAAAATTCTTTCGACTCTGGAACAGTTCCTACAGATTGGAGGGTAGCTAATTAACCCCACTGTTTAAAAAGGGAGGTAGAGAGAAAATAGGAAATTATAGACTAATGAGTCTGATGTTGATAGACGGGAAGATGCTAGAGTCTATTAACAAGGATTTTACAGCAGAGCACTTAGAAAACAATTTTCAAATGCAACACAGTCAGCATGGATTCACAGAAGGGAAGCCATGGTTGGCAGATCGACTGGAATTCTTCAAGTTTGTAACTCGTACAGTTGATTGGAGGAGGGCAGTGGATGTGGTTTATTTGGAGTTTCAGAAGGCTCTTGACAAAGTCCCACGTGTGAGATTAGTGTGTGAAATTAAAGCACATGGTGTTGGGGGTAGTGGCTTGAGATGTATAGAAAATTGGTCAGCAGACAGAAAACAAAGTGTAGGTACAAACGGATCTTTTTCTGAATGGCAGAGAGTGATTAGTGCCTAAATATTTACAATATATGTTTATGATTTAGATGAGGAAACTAAATCTAGTATCTCAAAATTTGCAGATGACACAAAGCTAGTTGGAATGATGAGCTGTGAGGAGCATGCAGAGATGTTGCAGTATGATTGAGTGGGCAAAAGCATGGCATATGAGGTGTAAAATTTGAGGTCATTCACATTTGTCGTAAAAATAAGGCAGATTTTTATTTGAATGACTATAAATGAAGAGAGTGGAACTTTCAACCACACCTTGGTATCGTCATGCCCCAGTTGCTGAAAATAAGGGTGTGGTGCAGCAGGCAGTAAAGAAGGTAAACTGTATTTTGGCCTTTGTAGCAAAAGCATTCGAGTACAGGAGCAGTGATGTGTTGCTGCAATTACACAGGGTATTGGAAAGGCCACACCTGAAATATTGTGTGCAGTTTTGGACTGGTCATCTGAGAAAGGATGTTCTTGTTATGGAGGAAGTGCAGTGAAAGTTTACCAAATTGATCCCTGGAATGTCAGGGCTGATGTATGGGGGGAGATTGAGTTGGTTAAGGTTGTATTCACCGTAGTTTAGAAGAATGTGGCGGGGGAGGGGGGGGGGGAGGGGGGACTCTCATAGAAACCGATAAAATTTTAACAGCACTAGACAGGTTCAGTGCAGGAAGGAGGTTCACAATGGTGGGGGAGTCCAGAACCAAAGGTTCTAGTTTAATAATGATTTTAGGACTGAGATGAGGAGAAATTTCTTGTGTGAAGAGTGTGAGCCTGTGGAATTCTCTACCACAGGAAGTGGTTCAGGCTAAGGCATTATGTGTTTTCAAGGAGGTAGATATAGCTGAAAACAACAAATAGTGGAGATCCCAGCAGGTCAGACAGCATGACTGGAGAGAGAGCGAGCTAACATTTCGAGTCTGGATGTCTCTTCATCAGAGCTGAAATTAAGTGTGGAGAAGGCAACATTTATGCTATAGTTGGTGGGGGGTTGTGAAGGTGGTGGGGTTGGGGAGGGGAGAGAGAACATGATAAGTGAGACTGTAACAAGTAAAGCTGTTACGTTCTCCAATTTTTTCCCTTTCTTTTAGCTTTACTTGTTAATTCTCCATCAAGATGTCCTCTGTCCTATCCCCCAACCCCAGTGTGGACTGTCTGCTCTTTCCAATCGGGTAGGTAGACACACCATTGTTCTGCCATTCTCACATTCCGATCTGAACTATCAACATCCTTTCTCCACCAGCACCTTACACCCACCACCCTCACAACCCCCCACCAACTATAGCATAAATGTTCCCCCTCCACACTTCACTTCAGCTCTGGTGAAGAATCATCTAGACTTGAAACATTTGCTTGCTCTCTCCCCATTGATGCTGTCTGACCTGCTGCGATCTCCAGCATTTGTTGTTTTCAGCATAGATTTCAGCATCCGAGGTAGATATAGCTCTTGTGGGTAAAGGATCAAGGGTGGGTGCACTGAGCCTGATGATCTGCCGTGATCGTATTGAATGGCATAGTAGGTTCGAGAGGTTAAATGGTCTACTCCTGTTCCTATCATTTACATTTGCACGTTAGCTGGGGAGTCCAGAACCGGGGGTCGCCATCTAACATACAGGGTAGGTTATTTCAGGCTGAGATGGGAAGAGATTTCTCCACCCAGAGAGTGCTGAGCTGTGGAATTCATTACCACAGAAAGTGGTTGAGTCCAAAACATTGCATGGTTTTAATAAGGAGTTGAACATAGCACTTGGGAGTAAAGGGATCAGTAGCTGTGGGGGAAAAGCAGGTACAGTACCTCAGTATGGGAACATGGCTGGATCTGCTGCTGGGGAATAAGACTGGTCAAGGTAAGAGTGATAAACATCTCATTAGTAATGGTGACAAACAAGGAACGATCTGCAAGAGCGACTGAGCAGTCATATTCAGGTACAGATTCAGGTTCAGGTTTATAACCAACAAGTGAGAAAGTCAATGCTCCTTCAGTGGAGAAGATCAAAAATATAATGAAACAGGCAAAGGAAGGTGTATGATGTTTCGCAAGTGAATTTTTAAAGTGAGAACTGAGCCAAATACTATAACTTGTGAGGGACTGTGAAGAGGAAAGGAACATTGGCCAAGAGATGTTATGAAAATAGGATAAAAGTACCACATGAAAAGCCGGTGAACAAAATTGAGGCTCATGGAATAGGAGGATCAGTGTCAAATTTGGAAAAGCCCGGTTTTTTTCCAGATAAAGCTTTTTAAGGGAAGATTTGACAGAGGTGTATGTGGGGACGGACACTTATATAAAAACAATAGATTTTTTTTCCCTTTGGAAATCCAGCAGAGCAGCAGCAGCTGAGATCCTAAGCAAAGAAAACGAGATGGTGAGTTGCCTGAATGATGAAATGAAATGGTTGCAGTAGCATGGCAGCACATGGTGCTGATGGGCAGAGTGTCCTCCGCTGAGCAGCTGGAGCGTGCGGGCTGTCCAAACTGCCGCGCATGCGCTCGGCTTGGCGGGAAAGGCCTCGCGCTATGGGCTGCGGCGCCATTTTGTGTGGGCGAAGGCTGGGCCTGGATTGTTTTATAAATAGAATTAGTTCAAACATAATTAATGAATCGGAATCCGGAATCACATAATACATTGCTATATAAATTCTCAAGACTGGTCCGTTTAGAAACATGCAAAAGGACAGAAGAAAATGTCGTTTTTGCCGAGCGAGTCACAATTAGTTGGATGATACGAGGTGGGCCGAGTTATGGAAACATTTATCTTGCATTAAAAGGATAGATTTCAATCGATGGTGATTATATTTTTTAACTGTGTGTGTGCAGCAATTCTTACTGATACGGTTGATGTATCGCTTCTGCGCCTCACACATACCGTGGGATCACAAAAACACTGCAAAGTGAAAAGCTTCGAAACCGCCTGGTAGTGTCCGTACCTCTGAGCTGGGAGACCCGGGTTTAAATCCCACCTGTCCAGAGGAGTGTATTAACATCTCTGAACAGGTCAATTAGAAAATCTCACACACGCTTTGATCAGGAACATAGATAATGCTTTATCTTAATTAGGAAAATTGCAAACCAGAAAGAAACACACGGATTACTTCAGCACATCTCAAAGAGTATCTGGTGCCTCCAATTTTGAAGTGTAATTTTCTTTATTATAGGCAAACAATCAGTGCTAAATTAAGTAGTTTTTAAAATAGAAAATATTTTAAAAGAGAAAATAAAATCGGGGAGTTTCTGACTCAGGTAAAGATATCTTAATGCTGCAAGGATCTTAAAACTGAACCTTCCTACTGCTACAAAAGGATAGATATAATCCTGCTATAGATGAATAGGAATTATAATTGATCTGTGTTTCTTGTGAAATTTTTATTTAAATCTTAACAATATGGAAACATGCAAGACACATACAAATGTGAAATATATCAAAATTCTGACAGGTAAAAGATGGTAGCCTCATCTTACGTGGAACGTTTGAAAGCTGGTAACTGATGTTTTCATTGGAGATAAGGAGATATGTACAAGCCAAGTAATTAGTTTGTAGCATTTTACAGTAAAAGAAAAAGGTCAGAATGTCTCACAGGAAACATTGACATGGAGTCAATGAAATTAATGATCCTACAGCTCTGTAAGACAGCATAGTTTCCTTCCCAGGGTTTTAAAAGAATTTAAAGGTGAGATTGATGTAGCTACCTTTGCTATAATCTCTCAGGTGATGTCTATTTCCTAAAATATTATTTTAGGTTCAAACATGGTTCCAGACACTTTGTTATTTAAAAAAGTTGTTTGAGGGAAATCAAACGATTGTAAACCAGTTAACTTTATTCTGTTATGGGGACATTGTTAGCGTCAATTATTAAGAATAAACTGATAATCGTAGAATCCCTACAGTGTGGAAACAGGCCCTTAGGCCCAACAAGTCCACACTGACCCTCGGAGCATGCCACCCAGACCCATACCCCTCTAACCCACCTAATCTACACATCCCTGAACACTGTGGGCAATTTAGAATGGCCAGTCCACCTAACCTGCACGTCTTTGGACTGTGAGAGGAAATCGGGACACCCGGAGGAAACCCACGCGAACAAGGGGAGAATGTGCAAAATCCACACATACAGTCGTCCGAGGCTGGAATTCTACCCGGGTGCCTGGTAATGTGAGGCAGCAGTGCTAACCACTGAGTCACCGTGCCGCCCAAAGTGCGCGAGTCAAAGGGCGTTCATGAAACCTCATGGTGCAATGAAGGTGAAGGTCAGCAGGGGCCAACTGAACAACCTCAGATCAGACGTGACAACCTGCTGAATTTTGATAAAGATCTTGAACAATGTCAACTGAATACAGACAGACACCATAATTTTTTAAAGGGCTGGATGAATCTCATTGACATCTTTGAAGAGGTGGCTAAAGTAGTGAACAGGGGTATGTTATACCAATGGACTTTGAGAATGCCTGTGATGGTAAAGTTGCCATAGTTGTACCAAGCCTTAGAGCTGCTGTCTCATCAGAGCGAGATGACTGGTGGTCAGTTAACCTGAGGATCACCATGCCTCAGGTGAGGGGAGATGTCGAGAAGAAGAGTCCTTCTCGTTAACCTCAACTGGTGCAGGAATGAACAATATTGTTTTTGTCACTCTGGTACCCATAGATTTATTTAATATACAGTCACTTGTACCTAGGTACAATGTTTTTGTCACTCTACATTACAAAGCAGCCATCCAGCCAACTGAGCTAATCACAATGAAATTTATGGGAAAACATAGAATTGGTAGAAGCTCATTTGCACCAGTTGGCAGAGTTCAGGACTAACAAGCACAGTATAACAATTAGAGCCAATCCTTTCAGGAGTGAAATTAGGAAACACTTCCAGTTACAAAGGATGGTAGAATTTTGGAATTCATATCTGCAAACAGCAGTTTTAAACAGGGGTTGATAATGCTTTTATAAACTGAAAGGATTAAGGTAGAGTTGTTGAGATGTACAGCTGGGAAACAGACCCTTTGGTTCATCTCATCCATGCCGACCAGCTATCCTATAATAATCTAGTCCCTTTTGCCAGCATTTGGCCCATATCCTCTGAACCCTTCCTATTCAGGTATTTGGCACTAAACCAAGTATTTAGAGTTAAACCGCAGATTTGTCAAGATATCATTGAATGGGGAATGGGCTCACGGAGCGACATGAACTGTTTGTTTCTTTGTAATGTTGCATATGTATAGTGTTCATTCCATGTATTGGACTTTCCTTATGGTTTTGACAATGATTGCCATTGGTGTATATCCTCGATAAATGTTGTTAAATATTTGCACTGATTTTGAATATTGATAACTGGATTGTCTTCACTGTTCAATAAAGAAATATCAATATGGCTTAAATCAAATAGATGCATTACCTGTTGCCATAGTCTTGATTGGCTGCTCAGGTGGGTAAGTAAATCAGTTTTCCCTAGTTCAGTTCCTGAGACTAGGACTAGCTGTATTTTTGATATGCTTTTTAACTTGGGAACCTGTCCGATGATTTTCAGTCAGGTTCTGTCTTGCTAAATTAAGTAAAGCAACTTCAAAATAAACTAAGCAACAACAAAAATCCTGACAAGCTGGAACTTGTCTGAGGAATCACCAAGTTGTCAGCTACAGACACTGTTATTGGATACAATATGTGCTACAATCATGTGGATACAAAGAATTCTCACCTCTGACAGCTTCCGTCTCTGACTCGTGTTCACTTTTCAAACTTATTTAGGAATTGAACATAGCTTTTGGTGTCTTTTTTATATTTGTTCGTACAAGTTCTGAAGACTCCCTTTTAAATGGCAGGTTAAAACAATTTGGACAGGACACGACATGCCCAAGGGGCAGGCAGTGGGATTCTCTAATAAAAAAATCAAGTAACGTTTTTGTCCATTTATATGTTGGAATGTTTCAGTCATGGATGATAGTTATTTCGGTCTTATATGATTTCTTGAGTATTTTTTCCAACTTGTTAAGCGTATCTTTTATTTCATCTATACCTTTCCCTTAGGTCATCAGTAAATTGGCAGTTCTGCTAGCATTAGTTTCTGTATATATGTGTAAAGACAACGGACAAAGATTGAGTCAGTATTAATGAAAATAAAGAATATTGAACATTCTGATAAAAGATTTTGTGCGTGCTGGATTTTGTTCTACCTTGCGTTGTTAATATGCCTATTTACTCAGTATTTGGAACCGTAAGCATCAGACCTGGACATGCAAGTGTGCTGAACCAAACTGACAGATTGAGGAAAGAACTTTGGTGAAACTTAAATGATCCCAGTGGTAGTTCTTGTTCTCATTGTGGGAAATTTAATTCAATATTGGAGAGATTATAAAAGTTATGATGGTATTAGTGTGAGAGTGATCTGGAAGGATCATTGACATAATGAGGACAAAATGCAATTTATCCAAATTGCTGGGAGTTGAGGCAAATGGTTGTCCCATCACATACGCAGAGCTGAGTATTGTAGTGCAGCAGCTGCCTGTACTAAAGATGTGCCTCTATCCTCGACAATGTCAGGTTAGAGTCTGCCAGGCACCCAATAATAGTTAGGAATTTTTTATTTCAATACAAGTTTGAGATTTTTGGGAAGTCATGTTTTAAAACCAGATATGAATTTTGTGCTGACTTTGGATCCATCATTCTGAGGGAGCTTGCTTGTTTTTGTATTTAATACTCAGGGCCGGTGTGTCCACTAGGGTGGCAAGGTTTCTGGCAGGATTGCAAAAACTGCCAAATACTGTGCTCTAAAAGCCAACTGGAGTTAAATTGATGAGAAAAAAGCAAATTGTTTTCCAATTACCAGCAGACATGGTCATTCATACTGAAACAAAAGAATTGTGCCCGTTACTGCAGCTGCGGTTTCCTATTAGAATTACCGATAACATTCCATCTTAATCAGTTTTAATATCCATCTAAGACCCAGCACCTGCTGAGTGACATTGCAGCATCTTATAGTCAGTATGCAGTTGAAGAGAAGTGAATGTAATGAAGATTGCATATGATATTCTGAAAGTCCTGAATTGGCTTTTTTAGTTGTCTATTGTTAAACTCAGTTGAGTGTTTATTTTAATTCTTTTCTGCAGCCTGAAGTACATGAGAAGCTTTAGGACAAATTAGCACAATAAAGGCAAATGCTGCTAAATTTAGTACATATTCAGAAATGAAATCTGAACATTTAAAGGTTAGTTTTTGCCAATGTATCAAAGTCCAGCAACTGAATTGCAAATGTTTAAACAAATCATAGCATTTCAGTTTTAATTTTCAATCTTAGCACTTTGCTGATTGAACTTGGCAAGTCTGATAAATCATTTTCAGATCTCTTAAATGGCAGCAAACTGTCAGCGCAATAAAATAGCTTAACAATTATATTAAAATTTTTGACATGCATGGCTGCAAACATTACCATGACTTAACTCGTAAGAGTGCGCTGATAGTCGTGCCCGCTGTCCACAAACTGTCACAGATGTATAAATACATCAAATTCCAATGAGCTGACCAAAGTGACTAACTTGCCTGGCTGACTGCGACTCAGGACAGAAGAAATTCACATCTGATTTTTTATTTGTGTGAAATATCTCTGGATTGTTATATACTTTAACAGGAAGAAAGAATTCTAACCTGTAACTATGCAACTTAAACTATAGCTGGAAAAACCCTGAATGCACAAATACTCAAACACAATGAAGACAGACAGAAAGTGTCTCTTTACACAGTTTAATACATGTATTAAGGATGGAAATTAATATAGACAGGGTAAACAAAATTCTGATGATCAAAAGTCCAGACTACCAGGTGGAAAGATATTTTGGTCACAGTCCTATTGAAGTTGCAACGATGATATGCTGTTGACTGTAGGACGATCATCGTCCTTCAATTCAAAGGTTGATCAGGTGAACTTGGATTTTTTTTGTACAAATTATTTCTTTTAAACTTT